TCCAGCCACGCTGGGCATGATCTCCACATAGTTCCGACAGAAGCGCAGCTGCTTAGGGACCAGCCCTGGGATGCTGCCACAGAGGATGGGTTGAGTCCCCAGGGAAGAATACTGGTGACCAATGGCCAAGGACCTAGAAGAGAAAAACAGTAGCATAGTTGTTTTCTGGCTCGTTTTGCTCCTATTTAAGCTTTCCACAATCACTGACAAAGAGCCCCATTCTAGCTTCTTCCCTGAGATAGGTTTTGTTTACATGAGGAAACTCAGGAGAGCTAATCCGAATTAACTTTTCAAGTGGATTAGTTAAACTGTATTCAAATCCTGTGTGGACACGCTTATTCAGAATTAAAGTGACCTATATTAAGATCTGGTCTGAACTTGGAAGTAAGGTGGGTTTAACTGTGTTGGTCAGGGATGTGAAAATTCCACTCCCCTGAGCAGCATTGTAAAGCCAACGGAAGTCCGGGTGGAGACAAATTTAGGTTGACAGAAGAATTCTGTTGACCTAACTACCCTCTGTCAAGGAGGTGGATGACCTATGCCAATGGGAGAATCCCTCCTGTCAATGTAACTCACGTCTACACAGATGTGCTCACAGCTGCAATGGCCTCGCTCGGCCCTTGTAGTGTTTTATGTGTACACAAGCCTTACATTTAGCTTACATTAAACTCAGGAGCAGCCCGAGTCCGGCTGCGGCAGCTGGCGCCCTAGACGGAAGGTGTGATCGATGCACCCATCTGCACGGCCGTCAATGGCCGTGAGGTAATCATCGGGCGCCCGGGTGCCCCAGGACGTCATCATCGGGCGCCCCAGGCTGGCGGCGCCCTAGGCGACTGTCGAGTCTGCCTATGCTCACGGGCCGCCCCTGAATTTTAAATTAAACTGCATGAAGACTGCTTTCACTTTGAATGACACTGTTCACTCCGGGTTTTAGTGCAATTTCATGTATCCACTTTGCAGCCACACTTTGTTAATTCAGATCCACTTTCCTGAGTGTCCCTGTGTAGTCAGACTTCTAAACTCCTGTCCCCTCACAGCTCTGGTCTGTCATGACATTCCCCCTTTTCCATGGATGCACAATTCACATATTCACAGTGTCTTTGCAACCATGAGAGCTAGAAACATTTTTTTTTAATAAAGACTTGCAAGTAGAAGATAATTTTGCAACAAGGGGTGGGATTTCTGGCAAATTCTTTGGCCATGGAAGCCACAATAGTAGCCATCCAGGACTGATGTTAAGAGCAGAGAAAGTGACAGTGCCATCAATAGAGCAGCATGCACCTCAGGTCACTGGGCAGTGTAGAAAAAGTGTCAGCCAACTGCAGATCATCAGCATGCCTTGAATGCATGGATCTCACTAGAAGAGGACTAGCCGTTTACTGCCTAGATCTAATGTGGGCCTTATAGACACTGTGCCATCCACCATGGCAAGAAGGGATTACAAGAATTGAATCTGCATGGCATCTGCAGATGTTTGGATTGTATTTTCTTCCATATGAGTTGCAATGACTTCTCTTTCTTTTTTTCTGCTGAGCTGAAAAAAAGATCTGAAAGGGGGATCCAGTTGTGTGGATGCTCATTTTGGAAAGAAACAATACACAAGCAAGGCTATTCTCTCATCCATTACAGGACCCAATTCTGCAACCACTTAAGGTTTGTCTTCACTACGCAGACAATCAATGCTGCCACAATCGATCTTCTGGAGTTCAATTCAGCAGGTCTAGTAAAGACCCACTAAATCGAACTCAGAGGGCACCCCCGGCAGTGCCGGTACTGCTGCTCTTGCAAGGTGTAAGGGAAGCAAATGCTTCTGTCAACCTCCCACTGTGTGGATGGCATAGAAACGCAATGTGAGATACACAACTTCAGCTACATTAATTACATAGCTGGGACTCCAGTTACCTTGACGACAGCTATGTAATTAATGTATCTCAATTTGACCTTCTCCTGTAGTGTAGACCCAGGCTCACATGTGTGAGTAAACTTACTCACAGGAATAAAACTACTCAGCCTGAGGTATGCAGGATTCACCCTATATCTCACGTATTGATAGCCTGCCTAACTTTACAAAGACAACTGGGTGCAAATCAGCAGGGTATTTAAGACCACGATTAACTTTTAAGCATAGGTGTAAATGCCTTTTCTGAACAGAGACAGACACGGGAATTGGGGTTGTAGAGCTGAAACAAACTGCTGCTTTCACATGCCTCTCAGACATAAATGTTCGCACGGGACAGCTTTCCACTTGTACTCAACAGGCGGAATTTGCCTTGGGAGTTTTCAAAAACTTCATTGTTGCTGCAGAGCTGGGCCCTTAGTGAGTGCCGCTGAAGTCATAGAATCCTAGAACCATAGAGCTGGAAGAGACCTCAGGAGGTCATCAAGTCCAGCCCCCTGCCCAAGGCAGGACCAATCCCAATGAAATCAACCCATCCAGGGCTTTGTCAAGCCAAGACTTAAACACCTCTAGGGATGGAGACTCCACTACTTTCCTAGATAACCCATCCCAGTGCTTTACCACCCTCCTAGTGAAATAGTTTTTCCTAATATCCAACCTGGACCTCTCCCACCACAACTTGACACCATTGCTCCTTGTTCTGCCATCTGTCACTACTGAGAACAGCCTCTCTCCATCCTCTTTGGAACCTCCCTTCAGGAAGTTGAAGGCTGCTATCAAATCCCCCCTCCCTCTTCGCTTCTGCAGACTAAACAGACCCAAGTCCCTCAGCCTCTCCTCGTAGGTCATATGCTCCAGACCCCTAATCATTTTGGTTGCCCTCCGCTGGACCCTCTCCAATGCGTCCGCATCCTTTTTGTAGTGGGGGGCCCAGAACTGGACACAGTACTCCAGATGTGGCCTCACCAAAGCCGAATAAAGGGGAATAATGACATCTCTGGATCTGCTGGCAATGCTCCTCTTAATGCATCCTAATATGCCATTAGCCTTCTTGGCTACAAGGGCACACTGTTGACTCATATCTAGCTTCTCATCCACTGTAACCCCCAGGTCCTTTTCTGCAGAACTACTACTTAACTGGTTGGTCCCCAGCCTGTAACTATGCTTGGGATTCTTCCGTCCCAAGTGCAGGACTCTACACTTGTCTTTGTTGAATCTCATGAGATTTCTAGTGGCCCAATCCTCCAATTTGTCTAAGTCACTCTGGACCCTATCTCTGCCCTTAAGCGTATCTACCTCTCCCCCTAGCTTAGTGTCATCTGCAAACTTGCTGAGGGTGCAGCAAACTTGCTGAGGGTGCAATCCATCCCCTCATCCAGGTCATTAATAAAGATATTGAACAAAACCGGTCCTAGAACCGAACCTTGGGGCACTCTGCTAGAAACCGACCGCCATCCTGACATCGAGCTGTTGATCACTACCCGCTGGGCCCGGCCTTCTAGTCGTTAGTGATACACGAGTATAGATAACTCAGTGACAACAATACAATCAATCGATGTGTTCTGCGGCAGCGATATTTTAATATTTGTGACCTCAATTCTCTGAGTTTATTTTGCTGAAAATAAAAAAAGGAGTTTTCTCAGGAACACTCCAGTTCAGCTGAGTCCTTGAGAGTACCTGAAAGAACTTCAGGGTCTGCACATTGTCTGACTCCGTGTGCTTTGCAGGACATCCAGATGCCATAATGACAATGGTGCAAGCAGAATCCAGTTCGTACAGTACGGGGGGCGGGGCTTGAGATGGGTCATGTGACCACCTCATGTGACCCTCCACATGAGTCCTCTCAGTCCAGGCTTCCATGCTCTTCCTGTCTCCTCCCCATGCTGCACCTCCCTTATCTGGAGGGGAGCTCCGTCTTCCACCCACAGCACCTTCCGAACCACATGGGGCATCCCCTGCACCTCCTCCATTATGGCTCTACCGCCCAGCTCCCACATAGAGTCTCTAGCTGCTAACCCCACTGGAAGCTGGGGAAGATGCAACTCCTACTACAGGGCTTTTCTGGGAATCCCAGCAGAGAGAGAGAAGCAGAACATGCCGCTACTGGGCAGCCCCATGCTACATCTTTTCCAGTGCCACTGTGCTGTCCCCAGCCCTGTCCTCTGGCAGGTGGCTGCTGTACAGACAGAGACTACGAGACCCTGTATGGAAGAGCTGGTCCGGGCAGCTGTGACCCCATGTTCTGCTGCTCCTCTCTCTGTTACACCGTACAAGCCATAAATATCTTGCTGATACAGCGGACCACACCAAACCGCCCTTCTTGCCCTGTCACAAGACAGGTGCATTCACAACTTGGGCAGACAGAGAGCTAGGTAGACAGAAGCTAGTTCGAGAGATTTAAGCATGCTCTTACGAGTGCCTCTAACCACCACTGAGATCATTAAACCCCAAAAGATTGTTAAAGTTGAATTTCCTTTTCTCCTTTGTCTTAGTTTTTTGGTTTACTTTCTGGCCCTGAACATGAAACTCCACTGGTCAGTATCCCTTTCTGTTTAAACACATCTTTGCTACCGGGCTTTCGTGTAGGAGTCACTTGCTGTGTTTGGGCCGCCATTGTGGCAGAAAAAGTTTGCCTGATTTTCTTTAAAAAAGGTTTTGCACACTGAAATTGTAAAACAATGGCGATATTTCTATCAACGCTGAGTGCTGGGAGAAGGCTAACAGAGAGGAAGGAGGCCCAGAACTTTGCGACTAGTCTAAGTCCAGGTCTATACTAGACCCGGAAGGTCAGCTTAAGATACGCAATTCCAGCTACGTAAATAATGTAGTTGGAGTCAACAAATCTTAAGACCAGCTTAGTGCCATCTTCACAGTGGGAAGTTGATGGGAGAGAACACTCCTGTCAGTTTCCCTTACTCCTTGTGACTTCAAGGAGTACCAGTACTAATCAGAGGTGCCCTCAGCATTTGATTTAGCGGGTCTTTAGTAGACCCGCTAAATCAAACACCAGAAGATCGATCTCTGGCATGGGAGATCAGACTTGGGAGCCAGCGGCTTTCTAGATGCTGTGAGGCAAGTCTCACTTCTCCATCTGTCCAGTGGGGAGGCGGGTGAGGCGAGTTACTGCCCTTCCCTACTGCACAGGAGGACAAATACTTAACAGAGTAAAGATGAGTAAGAAGGTGTCCAAGGTAGGGTGGTTTTTTTAAGGGGTCCTGGGCCTAACCCACCAGATC